CGCTACAGAAATAAACAGATACTTAACTAAATCAAAATGGCCGAAAAAAATATTTAAAGGCACAACCTTGAGACAACATACGCAATTTTAAGAAAAATTAACAATTCATAAATTAGCTTATTTTTTGGCAGTTAGGTACAATGGGTCATTTTACATTAGAAAACTAAAATCTTTTCAGGTCTTTAAAATAATCGGGTCTCTATCTTTCCGTGATTCTCATCATTTATTANATTTTGTTATTTTCTGAAACAAAAACATAACTTATAAATGCAAAAAAATTAAAGAAAATTTATAAAAATTTCAAATATATTTGGGCATTTCCAAAAACAGAGATTCACATTAAATATAAGTAAACAAGATAAAACTTGCACCCTTTTAAGCACAGGCACAAGTCAATCATTCAATAACAAAAGGAATATTTTTCTTTTTATAAAATGCACCAGAAGCTGCAAATGTTTCTCTAATTTACAAAACGGGGGATAACTTTGTTTACATTGCACAGACAATTCATTTTTCCTATAGTAAACTCGGAATAGAGATCCAACTGATTGATTAGTCGCATCAGGATTCATTGCATAAGCTTGTATCATACATAAAATAACTGCTGTCGAGTCTTTATCTAAGTAAAATAATTCAGAGCGCAAGAATCGTCATTCATCAGTCACAGAATCACCAGAATCTGTTTCCTTTAGCCAAGTGAAGAAAGATTTGAGAGAATGTAATGCTACAAAGAAATTCCGACAAAACGTGGAAGGTTTTCGTGCCAAATAGCATCACAGACTGGGCGAGTGATGAAGGGTGGCTCAGTTCAGGCTTTGTCGCTTACTTATACAGATTCAAGATGGCTTTTGATCCATACTGCTTTATATGTAGAGGACAATTTGTAATGGATTGCCACCACGTTCTTCGTTGCAGTGCTCTTCGTGAAGCAACTATTGCTAAGTGATTCTGGGAAGCGAGGTGTCGAATGAGGAAATAACTATTTTTAATTATTTTATAATTGTTCTCTTGAGTTGTGTTATTTCTATCCATAATCAATCCACACTACCATTAGAAATAAAATAAGTATTTCATCTGACGGAATTTTTATTCAATAAATCTTTTTCGATTTAAATATCTACTAGGAGAAGGTTTAACAAAGTTCAAACTAAGCAAATATATAAAAAAAGATTAAATAATATTTTGCAAAAGACCTTGAAAAATAAAAAAAACGCAATGCCAACTGCAGGATTAAGAAAAATCACGCCATATGACAATTTTCTGTTTCTGGTTCATTTCCAGTTTTAAAATATTTAAAAAAAATTTCCTAGCCTAATGAAAAGTTTTAATGGAATGAAAAATGGCATTTTTATAGTTATTTTGAAACAAGATATTCTTGAAATCAGGCTACATATCGGGTATTATTATACAAAGCAATATTTTGCTGTAAAAATACCAAACAATATCTTATTCAATAATAAAAGTTTGTCCTAAATTAAATTGAAGAAAAAAAATGCAGAACATAATTTGTAATATACAAAATCTTGCAAGGCAGAGAAAATGTAAAACTTTATAGGGATTATGAGATAACAGGATGTAAGTCATAAAATTGCCATGTAAGTGGATCAATGAATGAATTACCTTTAGGTTGATTCAGTTGATTCATTAGTGACTGAACAGCATATAAAGCTTGAAGTTCCAGATTTTCATTATTATCTATATACCGTGTTAGTATAGATATCCCTTTTCTCAATTTCGTAACATCTAATTCCCACCCAGAAGTAGTATCTATAACAAAAACAATTATTTAAACAAGTTTTCAAAAAGTAAAAGAATAGAATAGAAAGGATATGTACAATAAAAAAAACCTTTTATGGCATTTTCATGCACAGTAGACACCAAGCCACGGATAAATTTAGGTTCTGTACATTCAGATACATTGGCCTGAAAGAAATTAAACCATTAGAGTATAGCAAAAGCAATTATAAATTTATAGGAAGGAATTGAATTGAATGTGGGGTTTAGTGGCACAAGGTCCAAAAAAGGACATACTGCGCCAAACACAAGGTTTTAAAAACAGATTAAAAGGTTAAATAACACTCACGTATAAAATCAGATAAGATGTGAAAATTCTAAAACAATGTTGTAAAGTTACGTACATTAAAATCCATAAAACTGCATGGTAAATTTGCTAAAGCACTAAATAGTATAAAACAATTATATACAACTTAAAATTCCAATAGCGCGCAAGAATGCAAAGATGTTAGGATGGTGACTTTTATCTAACAAGTCTTTTATATATAAAAAAATCAAAAAAGGTAAGGCGCTGTTGGTTCAATTTATAGGAAGGAAAAAAAGCAGAAAAAGTAAGTCAAGGCATGAGCAGAGCTTGATTATCGGAAAAAAAGTGTAATATTAAAAATACAGTGCATAATATCGCAGACGGAAAATTCAATAGAAAGTATAAGAAATAATCATAAGACACAAATAACTACTGAAAAATATATGACTACATAAAAACTGCATTTTTTTGATATTAGGTAGCCAAAGTTAAGCAAATGATTTAATATAAAACCCAATTTGCTTAAAACATATTTTTGAAAGTTCTTTTAATCTTATTTATCAGATATTCTAATACTTTTTCTTGAGTCATAAAAACAGTATTGATGGAAAAATTGGAGAAACATGGCCAATTTCAGAATCAAGTTATTAAAAATTATAGCACATATTTTGTTATTTTCTGAAACAAAAACATAACTTATAAATGCAAAAAAATTAAAGAAAATTTATAAAAATTTCAAATATATTTGGGCATTTCCAAAAACAGAGATCATTTTTATGCCATGAGAGATAATTTATGAAAATATCACCAATATTTAAATTTACTGAGAATGACATAAATACCTTTTTATTTTTCCATATTATATGTTAAAACATTAAAGTTCTCCTTTTAATAGATTTCTAGACTATACTATCAATGATTTTCAATGAAAGTACACATTTTTGTTAGCACACTTCATAATCATAATTTTAAATAACTAATTAATACAAGAAGGTTTCTCACCATTTTTTTAAAAAAAATATGAAATATTATTTAGAAAGTTGCAAAACATAAAGTTATTTATTTCAGCTTTCTCTTGCAATTAATAAATACATGATTAAAAATTGAATCAATTAATGAATAGTCAATATTGTTTCATCACACTTCACTACTTTTTTTGTTATTATTCAAAAAGTTAATTACTTTAACCAACATATCGCGACGAGTAAATAATTAAAAAAAATTGCACATTTAGCTTTACTTATTTATTCTTTTACGCATCGTGAATCTTTTATTGTCAAATTTTAAACTTGAAAAATAAAATACATAAACTTACATCTATCCAATCAAATATTTCTTCACTTTCGTCAGTTTTATGAAGCAAATCGAGGAGATTCTTTTTAATCTTTAGTAGGACAAATCGTGAATTCCAATTTCTAAAAGAAAGTAATACATTATAACAATGCAATTTCAAATTTTTTCCTTTCTCACTTGTTTATAAAAACCACACTACTTACCTGTTTTAGAATAAATTCGTCTACTTTAGCATCGTTCCCTAAAAAGTCAGTCCACTGTAGCTTAGATTCTCGCCACAGCTCTCCAAGTTTGATAGTTCTCTGATCAAAAAGGAAATTTCAATGATTAACGTAAAACTAATTTGGACACATTTCTTACATTGAATTGTGAAGTTTAGTTAATTTTATTCATCCCAATCTAACAAACCATTCATATACACTCCAGGTAGCAAAAAGATATGATCTAATATTCGAAAGATGCAATATAATACTGCCCTGCTAGAAAACGCAAAACTCTTGAATCCTACCTTCTAATATTAGAACTAATATTATATAAAATTAAATAGTATTCGATCTAACATTCGAACTTTCAAAATTATCACCTATTTCATTACTTTTGGTCCAGTGCCACATTTTTGCGAAAGATTATCCCATATTATTAATAAATAAACATTTATTTATGAAAGAAAACGATAAATTAAATATTACTTAAATATCATTTTTAGCCAATGCAAAGAAAACGAAAAATAATATTCGTAGTAGTTTGCGAACGATTGAACTCGAAAAAATTTTTCAACTGTTTATGTTGAGTTGTAACTCCTTCAGCTTGTTTGCAAGACGAACTCGCAATCTTGTTTCCGCTGAGCAGTTTCTGTTTCAACTATTTCAGGTATTTATAATTTAGTAGTTTTTTGTAAACTTTATAAATTTCAATGATAGTTACATGATAAAGTTGTATCGTAGGTAATGTTTTTTCCTTGAGTTAAAGTTTAGCTAGAAAAGTAATTTAAAGCACGATGTGTTTGAGATTGTAGATGTTGTAGAAACATTCAGTGTCCATAACAAACTTGACCACTAAATTAAGACATTTAAGAATTAATTTACTGATCATGTATCCAATAAAGTCAGTAAATATTTTGTATTGTGGTCATTATTGTTCACTCGTAGTAGTTGACTTCTTTGTTGAAACTTATTGTCTAACTACAAGTAATAAGTACTGTTTTTCTGCAAAAATGAAAAAGACAAGAGTAATTGTCTGCAAACAAATTAACCGTGTTAAATCAAAATATATATATAGCGCAGTTAAAACCATTATATTGTAGAATGTTTAAAGTTTAATACAAACAATATTGATAGCATATTAAAATTTCATGTTTAAAATATTGTACTACAGTGGATGAATTAAAAAATTTTATTTAAATATAGACTAATTTTTATTTGAATATAGACTAATCTGTAAGTTTTTGATGCATCATGATTTATATTAATTTGCAAATGATTAAAAAATAAGCAATTATATGGTCTATTCAAAATGGTGATTATGGTGAATGTAGAGCTTTGATTAAATTATATTTTTTAAATAAATTCCTATTAGAAATAATCTAATGCTGAAAGAATTTAGTTAAACAATAAGAAAATTTTTTTTTGACAAATGTTTGGTATGTATACTGTCTGTTAAAGAACGCTATGTCACAATATTTGGGGGAGGGGCGAACTATATTTAGTATGTATTTACAACTTTGAAATATGTGAATTGTTAGAGAATTCTCCTTCTACATGATTTTTTCGACCATGAATTGATGATTTTGAATTCTCATAGTATCTTGTTACATTGATGTTCTTTTACATTAATCGAATTTTAAAATAAGCAATGGGAGAAAATAAGCAATTGTTTATTTAATACTTTTCGCCACTTTTTTTGTTGGCTTGTCACAAAGAGTTTTGCAGTTTGAACTTTTTTTTTTTATTAGCGGTTCGTAGCTTGGGAGTGTTTATGAGCTAAACTCTTTTTGTTAATCTCCTTTCCACTATGTTATTTTTTGTGTGGCTCTACCGAGATTTTTTGATGCAAGTATCGCTACTGGACTTTTGAATTTCATTGTAAAGAATATTACAATTTTTTAAAAAAAATTTCAAATTAAATAATTTAAGTTTCAAATAAATATTGTTTAACAATTTTAAATTTGTTTTTTTTCATTGTAAAATTAATTTTCTTTTACAATTGCAGATATAGCTCATCATTTTTAAGAAACTGACTTAAGTCAGTTAATATTATGAATTGTGATCATTATTGTTCGCACATAGTAGTTGACTTCTCTGCTAGCTTATTGCCTAGCTATAAATAATAAGTAGTGTAATTAGTTCAAAATATGCTTGTTAAACAACGTTTGCTAAGTAATTTGACTGTGACAAAGTTTTTCTGCAACAATGAAAAAAAAATAATTGTCTGTAAACAAATTAGCCAAGTTAAAACAATTAGAAAATTAATGATCTGCTACTTTTAGCTCAGTTTAAACCATTACATTCTAGAATGTTTAACGTTCAATACAAACAATACTGTTACCGTACTAAAATTTCATGTCTAAAATATTGTAAAAAAAAAAATTAACCATTTTTATTTAAATTTCTTGGGGATATTTCAGTATCGTTATTTGTCCCGCCAACTGCAATCGCCAAGTAGATTTTAAACTTGCAATTTTTTTTAAAAATAATATGTATATGTTTGCCCGGGGTTATACCTTTTGAGTTTGTCTTATTCTGTATTGTTTCTTTTAGTTTAATAAATATTTATTGAATAATTATTATAATAATAATTAGTCTAATAAATAATTATTGTTTAATAAAGTTTTTAAATAAATTTCTATTAGATATAATCTGAGACTAAAAATTTAATTAGACAATAAAAAATAAATGTTATGCATACTGACTTTTAAAGAATGTTATGTAAACATATTTGGGGGGAGGGGCAGAATATAATTAATATATATATTACAACTTTGAAATATGTGAATTGTTAAAGAATTCTCCTTTCAGCATTGTTTATTGAAGCATTTGTTTATTTAACATTTTTCGACACTCTTTTTGTTAATTTGCCACATAGCGAGTAGTTATTTTCTGGTCTAATAAAAGAAGTT